ATAAGGCTCATTCGTTACTCGTACAGTGACTCGGGTATTTTAGGTTCCTAAGTGGACCGCCGGCGTGAGATTTCACGTGATCATGGGGTTTTCATCTTTTCCGGTGGCTCAGAGAAAAAGTTGTGTGCGTGAAAGTGAGAACAACATACGTTGTAGTAAGATAATTTAGAAGTCGTATTCAAATTATGTAAAGGTATAATAGATTATTAAAAACTTGAATTTATAACGTATTAAATAGATATTATCGCTAAAAAAACTGGAAATTCGATTAAAAAAATAACGTATCAATATAGGACTGCCTCTCGAAATGACTTAATACAGCCAAGAATTTCTCAAAGAATCACCGAACCGCGTCGCTTGCTTTAGATCAGTTGAGATACAAAAAACAGAGAGTAACGAACAGTCTTTATATCGAGGTAACTTCGAATCAATACTAACTTAGCGGTGACTATCTACTCCGTTTCATCATGTTACTTGTCTCTCACGTTTTTCAATTGGTCTTTGGAACTCGGCTCTTATCGAGTAGATCTTTAAGGTTGCCGGAGACGCGAAACGAATTGATAATTGAATGATGACGATGACCGGGCAACTCCTTATCTCGCTAATATTTTAATTTCTGAATTTTAATACTCCTATAAATTAGATAACAATTAGTTAGATTCAAGGTAGAAATGTGACACAGTCAGCAACTTAGCCTGTTAACTGCATAATATCACGCGGTGATGTAATAATTAACCAAGAGCTTTACATTATATTCCGATCGTCCAATACTTGTTCGGCCGAGAATCTTTCCAGCCGACTGAGAATTTCATAAGGGCGACGACTATATAATTCGTGCACGGATCGCCGCATCATCGACGATCACGCTCCTCGAAGAAGAAACGCACGAGCACTAGCACACCTGGTGTAACCGGCAGTGGCGATCCGCGCTGACACAATGGGACACGTACCACCACGGAGTAAAGGGTTGCAAGAAGACGAGAGTCTTCCGGGAAGCGATGAAAGACTCTCGCTCCTTGGTCAGGTGTGCTGTACGTCCTAAGGGAACGATCAGTTTTATACGAGGTCAACTTGGTTCTACAACGATCGTGTCAAAGGTCGTGAGATCGTTATTGCTCCATGCCCCGCGCAAAAATATTTAGACTGTACGCTGCATTTAGATACTGAGAACAATACTGAGAATCTTTTCTTGTCTTCCCGACTGTTTGGCACTTGTCTGGCTTTAGAATGTAACCAAGACGCTTTTCATCTGAAAAGGACCGGAATTCTCGGTCAAATTTTGCGAGTTCCCTGCTATGGTCGAACTCTCGCTGCGAATTTTGCGAGTCCTCTGCGAGTTCCTCGCGCACGAGAACTCTTCGGGAACTCGCAGAAAACTCTCGTTGCGAATTTTGCGAGCCCCCTGCGCACGAGAGCTCTCGGGGAACTCGCAGAGAACTCGGAGAGTTCTCTGTGAGTTCCCTGCGTATGAGAACTCTCAAAGAACTCGCAGAGAAATCTCGGAAGAACTCAGAATTCGCAAAGAGCTCTCGCTGCGATTTTTGCGAGTTCCCTGTGCGCGAGAACTCTCGGGGAGCTCGCAGAAAACTCAGAACTCGCAGAGAACTCTCAGAGAAAGCTCAGAACTCGCAGAGAACTCTCAGAGAAATCTCAAAACTCGCAGAGAGCTCTCGCTGCGAATGACGAATTACGAATTTCAGCTTTTATCTTTGCAAAGTAAATAAAGTCGTGACATTTTCATACGGAAATCTGAGAAATCCAGCGACATACTATTATTAATCCGGACATAATTTCAGAGATGACCGGAGTCGTCGATCTGCAGCTCTCGCGAGGCAGCAAGTAGTTTTCGTCGATGACGACCGGCCTCGACCCCCTTCGCTTTATACCCGAAAACCTCGTAGCCCCAACGTCCCATTCTCGGCTCGGCCCGTACGACGTTGCGACCTTTTGTCGTCGCGCGGTCGCTTTCCTCTCGCAAAAGTCTTTGCATAGTGCAGAGCCTCGGTGCCGCGTACAAACGAATAATGGAACCTTTTACCCCGGCGTTTTATGTGTGTGTGTGTGTATCCGTTCCGACGCACCTGTTCGATCGGACCGGTCACCATAAAAGCCCAGCGGCCAAGGTAGCGTTTGCTTCCACACTTTCTTGCTTGCTTGCTTGTGCGTGCGCGTTTTCTGCGTGAGCGTGTACACACAGTGCGGTCTGCGAGGGCCGGCACTCGAAAATGGCGCGTGCACCTGTCGTGCCGGGCGAAAGGACGTCGTTCAATGGGCCGTCATACATAATTACGGTCATAATGGCGACTAACTACACAACGAGACCGCAAGTGTAAATCGTTCGGATTTGAATATCCACGAGTTTGAAGCGCAGCGCGGCTTTGCGATCCCACGTCATTACGGCCTATAATCTTCTCTTTAAATATCCAGATTACTATCGTTAAACGAGCGATGGTAGAAGAATTAATTATGCACCAACAGATAAAATTTCCGGATCCAATGCTATTACACTTCAATGTGTCATAAAATAGGATCAAGGATAGAGAAGAATTATTGATTTTACTTTGACATCGTCTCATTTTTATACTAAATGAGGTTGTGAGAAATATAAGTGCGTCAAGAATACTTTGTGTTACGGTAACAGAAATCCTTTCTGAGGGTGCGCTTTCGCGACTGTCGGGGTAAGCAACGTTTAAATAATAAAATAAAACACGTGTTGCTCGCACGTATCAGTGCACCCTTGAGACGCCGATTAAGCGCGTGTTTGGCTCGCAGGTCGACCCACATATTACCAATGCGACAATGTCAGGAGGGCGAGCGAGATCGCGGCACGATCTCTCGGGTGCCCATATGGGCGAGTCGGCCGAACAAAAAGCTCGATTGGTGCCACCGCACAGCCGATTGAATCGGCGCGGCGGCACGTATGCCGGGGGCCGCGTGGGATCTAATACGCGGTGCAGGTAGTCCGCTTTGCCCGGGCGAAATGAATTGAACGCGTTTCCATCGCGCGTGTTTGCTCGCCATATGCTGTTTGCTCCGCTAAAAGAGCTTTGTGCTGGGCGTTGCACGCCCGTGAATGTATGAATGAAACACGCGCAACACGCGACGGAGCGAGATACTCTCTCGCGCGCGCGCGCGCGCGACGCGGAACGGTCTCTCGATTCTTCATTGTGCGAAGAAATTGGATAACCTGCCGGATAATCCGCGCGTATTCACGCTGACGCGACTTAACGCGTGTCGATTAGCCCTCGTGAGATACAGCTGAAGGCGCGCTCTGTCGTAACCGGAAGACGCGATTAACACGCTGAATGCCGCGCGGCTTACGAGGCAGCGCGTATTAATTTCGCTCTAGCTCGGCTAGATATTGTAATTCATTCGCGGCTGCGAAAAGGCACGGCTCTCGCGCGTGTATATTTGCTCGCGCCGCAAAGAAAGTTGTGAAACGTAATCATTTTTCTCTTGGAACGATTTATAATAGAATTCACGATAGCGCTTAATCAATTATACCCAAGATTCGAGAAGCGTTTCGCATAAACGCGCAGCGATCTGGAAGGCTGATAAACCTCGCTTCGGTAAATCGATGAAAGGATCTCGAATTTCCTATTCGTCGCATGATCGATCTGGACCACCCAGGACAGAGCTGTAGCAATGAATAAACGGCGGCATTCGGAAGATATATAAAGCGAGCCGCGCGGAAAGGATTCTTTTTACATATCGCGAACAATCGTTCTCGGGCGGTGCGCATTGCGCAAACGGCGGCGCGCACGATTGCGGGAGTGCGTCGATGAATACGATATAAATATCGCGACTTGTCGAAACGGCCGATAGATTTGTTCGCCGCCGTGTATTTTCTGTCATTTTCGTGCTTTATTATGTTTTATTACGTTCACGCGTACACACGCGCGCAATGAAACCCAACCGGCCGTGCGTCGAATCTCAAGTCGGGTCCAATCGATTCGTCTCGAGCCAGGCGCGAACACCGACGCAATTATTTTTATCGATGAGGCCTCTCCTGAGGCCTCTGACGAGCGGACACAAAATTCTTATTTTATTTAAGTTTGAAATTTCTTCTGTAACTCCGAAGCGGTAGCAGATACGGGGATGTCGTTTGAAGCAGCGTGTAGGCCACGTCCAGGGCTACAACTTTTCCTCAAACTCAGACGCTCTATCTCTCACCGTTTTTATTTTATTTAAGTTTCGGCTGCACGAAAAAATGAATAGTGCACTAAGTGCACGCCAAGGCTTGTTTACAGTAAATTTTTATACTCAAGAATCGCTTTGAACTTCGTTGCCAGTAAAGTGACCTGCATAGCATCTACATAGATCATTTCTTGGCTACTCTTTGAACATGTATTTAAGACAAAGTTAAATATAAAAATTGACTATAAACAGGCTTTGGTGTGCACTCATTGTCAGCGCGCACTAGTACAAGCAATCGAATTCGCCATAAGCTTACTCGCGCGTCGTTTGTCTAACGATAAAACTCCTGATTGTGCGAGCTTCCAAAGTATCGTCGCGTCAACGTCGTCTTTTTATATGCACGGTCTACTCTCTAAAAGTCAATCGGTGGATTATCACTGAAAACAGCGAATAGTCACTGGTTTACAGTTATAAGTATACCACTGCAATTTTCAGTAATATACTTGCAACTGCGAATCAGTGACTATTCATTGTTTTCAGTGATAATTCACTAATTGACTTTTAGAGAGTAAATGACCGGTAATTCGGTAATTATGTAACTAATGTCTTATGTGTGTAATATAATGCGTAGTCGAAAACTGAATGTATTAAAGTAAGGTTTTCTCCAGGAGAATTCTTGAAGAGGATATTGTATAATAGTGCTGGAGAAAACATATGTGGGATATCGAAGAGGTAAATATATTAATATATTTTAGAGAGAAGAGAGAGAGAGCGAGAGCGAGAGCGAGAGAGAGAGAGAGAGAGAGAGAGAGAGAGAGAGAGAGAGAGAGAGAGAGAGAGAGAGAGAGAATAAAAGTTAAAAATTTAAAATCCACGTAATTTATTTCGTATAAAATATCTCTATACATAGGCAATATCTGTATTTCATAGTAGTTTATTTTCTTTACAAAACTAGGAATAGTGGTACTCACCTGAGCCACGCTGCTAATTACACGCACGATAAAAAGTAAAAGTATGCAGCGGTGGCTCGATCTAACATCTATCTCTCTCTATATCTTTTTTCCGATAATCATAACGAGTCTTTTGTTCCTTTGCGTATAATACAATGACTAGTTTGTTTAAGAACTTACGGTGGATTTGCGAAATGCAAAATACAGAAAATGATAGTCCGGAGCCCGAGATCTCATGCATTTTTCCCATTCCACGCGTCGAATACCTTCCTTTCCTCTTTCCGGTCCAGTTTGCCCGATACAGGGCGAATTACAATACTCGTATTGTGCGTATTTTACTCGCTAGCCGTTAAGCGCTAAACTATGTACAATCGTGTTAACGCGTGCGAGCGCGCGAATGAGATTCCGCCCGACGCGCGGCGGTTTCGCGAATGGCACTTTGGTGCGTCGCAGCGTGATGGCTCTTAATTTTATCTTCCAAAAATTACGTCACTCATTTAACATGCACCCTGCTTTTAATATTTCACGCGGCTCAATATTTGCATGAAGCTCCGCGTTTATCTCTCGTTTTACTTGAAACGATTTCTTTTCCACCGAAACTGCAAAAGATCGTTATGTCATTAATATAAATAAGTTTCGATCGAGTCACGATGATAAATAAATGCGCTCGCACGCCGACAAACGAAATGAAAAATAACTCAGAAAAAAAAGAAAACGTGCAAATCGTCCTATTTCTCGATCTTGTTTCATGATCGCGTTTTACGTGCTCGAGTGCATTAGAACAAATGAAAAAAAAATGGCACAGCAGTTTCACGGGACCGCATCGCGCGGAGATCGAGCAGCTTTTTATAATCAATATTCCTCACGTGCTCGGAGCGACGTGACCGATCTCTCGGAAGGACGAAGTAATCTCTAAGTACTATTATATCGTCAGCACGCTCATACAATGAGTCACAGGACTACTTATTTCTTAATTGCAGGCCTCAAAAGATTGATATTCCTCCTGGACGGGATCTCCCTCGGAATAATAATATATTTCTTTTTGTGAAAAATTCCTGGCTTTTCTCTACAAACAAAATTTGGAATTGAAGTTGAGCAATTAAGAGACAAGTATTTTGTGAATCGCTGCATGCCGCGCATTCGTATACCGATATTTACAGCGAGGGATAATAAACAAACGAAACCAACTCTCACGGAACTTTTCGAGATACCTGTCTGACGAGTCAACTTTTCAGTAATGCGCGTGTTCGATATGACCGAGTAGTATACGTGAGAAGAACGCGTGGAATTGTGAGTTCTTTCGCCACTTGTGCGAGAATCAAAATGACAAAATCGAATGACTTTTACTTTCAGAATGAGGTCAGAATAAAAATTGCAACTGTTCGGAGAATATTTTCCTAAACGAAAACTTTAGTTTCCCTAAAGCTCACTTTTCCGAAAGGACATAGTCCGATGGCGAAAGGGTCAATCGACATTGCGCGAGCGATTCACCAAGTGAGCGACTCACCGGACTCCACTAACTCGACATTTGTACTGCATTCTAAGGCACTTTGAGACCGCGAAATGAAAACGAGCGACATACGTTTATCGCATGGTCACAGAAACGCGAGATTTTAGCAGGAGTAGCCGACTGACACCGGCACGCCGGGGCAGCCGCCGTCCTGATGCTTCGTGAGCAACGACATCCTGCTGAACGTCTTGCTGCACCTGTCGCAGGAATATTTCTTGACGTCGCTGTGGGTCTGTAGGTGAGCCCTGAGGTTGCTCCTGTCGGCGAACGCGCGATTGCAGTGTTGACACCGGAACGGCTTCTCGCCGGTGTGCGTCCGGATGTGACCCTGAAGCAGCCACGGCCTGGAGAACGCTTTGCCGCACGTAACACACTTGCAGGGCAACGTGTGCGTTCGGATGTGCATCTTCAGCGCGCCCAAGCTGATGTATACCTTCTGGCAGAATTTGCACGAAAAGGACTTCTTCGCCTGGCCTTGGGCGGCCGCGCAGTGAAACTGCTGGTGCTTCGACAAGCCGGAATACGTCGAGTACGACTTGTTGCAGTCCGAGCACGGGTACCTGGACGACGTTGTGCTCGAGGAGGCACTCGCGCCGGTGCTCGGACTGCTCTTCTCTATTTTCGTGTTGACGGTAATCGAGGTCCCGGCGGAGGTGCTACCGGCGGACGACCTGCCGCTCTCGCTGCTCGGCGAGGAGAGATCTTCCGGCGTCACGGGAGGCGGGGATCGCAGAGAGCCGGAACCCACGGAGCTCGTCGGTGACAAACCGCAATGCTCCGGACTGCTCCAGTGAGGGTAGCTCCTGGCGATGGGTCGTTGGATCGTCGAGCAGGTCAGCGCGCCGTGGGGTGGTGGCGAGACCGACGGATGATGCTCCGGAGAGTGCGGATACGCCGGTACCGGGTACGGCGAGTACAATTCCGCTCCGGGATAGCGATGATAGGTAGGCGGGGCGTACGACAGATAATGCGACGGGTACAGCGAACCGCGGGCCCAGGCTGACGTAGGATAATGAGCCAACGGCTCCATCGGCGGGTTTAGATTCAGCGGCTCCAGGGGCGCCTTGCTCGCCATAAAGTGCAACGGTGTCGACGTCGCCGTCACACCCACCGTCGGCGTCGTCGTGGAATTGTCATTATGCTGGATCACTTCGACCCGCGCCTTCTTCACCATCGGATGGTGGGTCGGCGCGATTCCCGCTGGCGGCGTAATAGTCTTGGTCGGATAGTGATGGTGATAGTGCAACGGGTGGACGTAGTGCACCGCGTGGTGAGTCGTCGGCGAGGACGGCTCTATCGTCAAAGGTGGAGGAGACGTCTTGAAGATCGGAGGCGGCATCCTGCTGGACGCGCGTTCCTGTTCTTGCTGTTGTTGCTGTTGCTGCAGCTGTTGTTGCTGCAGCTGTTGCTGTTGTCGATGGGGACTATGATGACGATCCGCAGTTCTGCTGAGATCCTCGGGCTTCGTGCTGAGATTCTCGGGCTCGGGGATATCGTCCACCCCTACGTCAATTATTTCTTCTGCACAAACGAGAGACACGCGTTCACATATGTGATACAGAATACCGAAATGTAAAACATAAGAGAAAGAAAAAAATCGCAGCTCGTGATACTAAAAACTTTCTCTTTATTTCTTCTTTCATTTTTACTTTTTCTGTTTTTGTCTTCCATACCGCTACGACAAATGTATCACGTTTAAACTTTACTGTATATTCAATTATGTTTATTAAATAGTCACAATTAGACTTTATCAATTTTATAAAATATTGAAGTTTCTACGTATATCATTTACTTATTGTGAAGCTTAAACTCAAAATAACAAACAAACTAAATCTCAAAACAATCTACAAAAGACATATACGCTCGAATGTAAGAGAAGCCAGTATAAATATTGAATTTCGTGAATGAAAGGGCACCGAAATGTCGGAGCAACTTGTGCGAGAAAAATTATGTACCTTTGATAGCTTCGGGAGCTTCTTTTCCATCCTCGGACGTGTAATAAAACGGCCGCTTTTTTAAAGGGCAATGACTGTAATTGTAGTTTTTCTTCATGAAGCCGTGCGGCACCTCGTGTGGCACCTCGTGCGGCACCTCGTCGACAAGCATTTTGCCACTGTGGTTCGATACTGCGTAAAGGCACTTGAAGCGTTCCTCTGATTTATTGACGCGATGCCACTGGGGAGATGCTTACAGCATCTTCCTTCTCTCGCTTCTCGTACGGGTATCACTCATTTACAGTGTTAATCCAACAATCACACCCTCGCCGAAGTCGCGCGAGACAACAGTACGCGGCAACGTCACTGCACTGTTTCTTCACACATAAGTGAAAGGCCTCCTTGCTCCGAAGAAGAACCAGCACTCGAGCTTCCGTTGAGGAGCGAGACAAGAACCGATCCTCACCACACGCTCGTCCGAATTCAACTGATCGGTTCGGCGACTCGGCTAAATCGACTCGCGCGAGACACGAAAGAGAAATGCGAGGGACGTGCTACGGCAGGTGACTCGAAGCGCATCGGCTGCAAGCCGGTCTCTGACTAGCAGGGGGATGTGCGAGGGCCTCTTATAACAGGTCGCCCCACCAACCGATCGCAGGTGGCCCGCACGTGCTGCCGAGCCAATGCGGGCCCGCGGGCCCCTCGTTGCTTGCCAATGGGGGACGGGCGGTCGCGGGCCACCGGCCAATCGACCGGGAATACGTTCCACCAACTGTCCCCCACCGCCGGCGACTACAACGGGAGGTGCAGGATGTTCATGAGTGCAACGCGATAGTCCGCTACGTTCCACGTCCTTCCTTTTTCATCCCTTCCACTGTTTCTTTCTCTCGCCTTCTCTCCCCTCCCTTCTCTTTCTCTCTCTCTCACGCTTGTGCACGCCTCACGAGTTTCAGTGTGTGTATGTTATGTTGTTCTCCGTAGGAGCAGATGCTGTGACCCCTCTTAGGGGGACCCTCTCCACGCGCGTGCACACACACACACACACACACATGCATCGAGGATTCGCGTTCGCGCGCGCGTGTGGGGTACATTAGACCCCCTCCGCGCGCGAGCTCGGCGACTCGCGTTTTTTATTCGAATTTCCGTTCGGCCTACCTGAACTCCGCACCTTTCTTTCTCTCGCTCTTTGTGCGAGAGTAGTTGTCGCGTTGGGCTGTTTTGTGGCCCCTACCTGATACGCGCGTATTGCGTCTCGCGCGCACAGGCGAGCGTGCGTGTGCGTACGCGTACGCGCGCTACAATCCACCTCTTGTTCCCCTTCTGAATTTCACCCCCTCTTCCGCGTCGACCCACGTTGCCAGTCCGAACGTGTAACGGTCGTGTCGCGTGCCACAGCATCGCCCACGCGCGCTGGGAACCTACACACGCGCGTACACTCGTGAGCATGTGCACCGGGGCACGCGTACTCGCGCGAGCACCCCGTCTCCCCCCATGCGCGAGCGGCAGATTCACGTTAGATCGCCTGCCATTTTTGCGCGAGAGGAAAAGCACCGCGGCGCTCGGCTTGAGAATCCGACCACGTGGCCGGTGCAGTGAAAAGACGTCGGCTACGTTCCGTTTCCCTCGTCGGCAGACTTCTTCGATTTCCGCCAGTCTCGCGATCTACTTTCCCTTTTCCCCCCTTGGTGACTATATGATGACTGTAGATAAGTTTTCGTCAGGACTGTTGTTTAAAGTTCTTTATAATTACCATAAATTTGTACATTGTTTTTTACATGCTACAGAGAAAATGTAGCAAAATGTGTTTCGTTCTTTGTTGAGAAAAGTGTTGCTAATTAAAATGTTCACAGCAATGGAATGTTTCGGATGTATTAACGCACAACGAAAATTCAAGCGTTACACGGATCTTAAAGTCCGATCTACAACGTGGTTTTGCGATTAGAAATATTTTGTACGGGCAAAGCAATACGCTTAAAAAATGTATCCATCATGTACGATTGTACAATGTACAATTTGTCAACTTTACACATTTTTTTAAAATATATTGGCTATAAAATAGTGTAAGGATCGAAAGGATTTTGGTAGAGATTTTTTCTTTTTAGGTAGCGCGGATTAAATAGAGATCAGGTTTTCACTTTTGTAACACTTATTAATATAAAACATACACTGAAAATGATTACACAGAATTGGTATAAACGAAACTTTCGTTAAACAACCCGAAAGAATTACTAACCTTTGCTCGACTATATAAGTGAAATTCCGCACTTGCTAGACTTCTCGATTCACAGTCCTTTGTGTCTCTCGCACGTCTAGTTACTTCGACAGTCCTTCGTCGACTCTCTCGTGACTCTACTAAATCGGAGCAACGGCTCCTTTTGCCGAATTCCTCGCTTAATAGCTAGATATTACCACAGGTGTCGATAGCTATCGGGATGTACATATTCAGATGCTTACAATAGAATGTTTCTGGACGCAAAGAGCACATTGTAGATCAGGCTTCAGGGCCTGAACAGATTGGTTGTCTCTTAAGGCAATGTTTTAGATTTCGGTTTGAATCTAATCTACAATGTGTTTTTGCGATTAGAAACATTCTATTGTTACAAGCAAATCAATACGCTTAAAAAATGTATCCACAATGTAGATTGTACAATGTACAATCTATCAACTCGCACACATCTCTTAACCGTATTTGTTGGCTGTAAAATAGAATGTTTCTAGAACACATTGTAGATCAGGCTTGGAGCAAGGTGAAATCGTGAGACATTTCGTCGCAATTAGCGTGTGTGCAATGGGGACAAGATTATCACCGGTGGAAAAGGAGATTATTCGAATTGATATATCACTCGAAACGATAATCGGGATAAGAGACCGGTATGGCCACGTCGTCGGCTGGGAAACGAGAGCGATTTTTGACACAGGACCCTCGTACTTGTCGTCGTAAACAGCTCATTCGCATAAAGCTCTATTCTTTCGCTGGCTCGCCGGGTGCGCGGCGGCGACCAATCATCTTATCGTATTATTTCGTAATGAAGGAGAAACACCAGACGCAAGAGAGCGAGAGAGGAAAAGACGGAGACGGGCACGCCGGCAGAATTTCATGATAAAATCTCGGTAACCGATACGCCACGGGCGCGCGTGTTATTAACCGTTTGTCTCGGCACGAGAAACGTCCTCGCTACCGTCGATATATATTTACGCTCGCTTCGCTTTGCATTACAATATCAATATTGCACGCAATCGCCGCGCGCGACGCATTTCACTTCGCTTATCGGCGCGCATTCCGAATGCCGCCACGCGCGTGGTACGCTGAACTTGAAAAGGATTCCGCATTCAGCTTTGCGCTCTATCAGTACGTTGGAAACAGCGCTTACTGCGGCGCGTTGCGATATTATCACTGTGCGAAAGATGTAATTCAGAGTCGAGACATTCTGAAAACGTTATTCCACGGAATGTCGGCCAAGTCAATTTATCTAATACAATAAACGCACACTAAATTCTGTACATGCTCCGGGAGAAAAAAAAGACAGCAACCCATTTCCGAGCCCACAATTAGTAGTCAAATTATTTGGATCGTTCGTGACTCTAATCTTTTACGAATTTTACCGCGCGTAACTAAAGATCGCATTTAGCTGTTCTATCTATATCCAAGATTTTTAAGTAATACTAATCAATTCTCTCAATTAGTTCTGTCGATATTCAGTAACGCCAGTCCAATTAATTCGATTACTAATCGTGGGCCCCAAAATGGATCGCTGTCTTTTTGTTTCCAGAGTGCAAGAAACGCTTAGAAAATCTCAAGATATATTTACCGCGATATGTAAAGGTCCCTTTCTCGAATATTATAAGTTTTATTCCGTCAGTTGCGTGTCAATTAATTAAACACTTGCCAGCCGACAAGCCGTTGCCATCACGCGCGCCTGACGCGTATTGACAGGAACGATCTAGTCGGCTGCTGCACGCACTGCAAATTTATACGATCGTTAGCCAAGACAGAGAGTCCGATTCGCTCGCCGATAAGCGGAGCAGTCACGATCCCAAAGAAACTATCTGCTAGCGACGCAACGGCGGCGCGAATCACCCTTGTTGTCCCGATACCTGCCGCCCCGCTTATCTCATCGACACCCACGAATACAACGTCGCGTACATATCGAGTGCGTACCGATGCCGATCAAAGGGGGGAATGCAATAAGTGCGCACGCTCGGTGCACCGACTTCGACCCACAGACTTCTACGCCTTACTAGACTGCTACCTACCTGAAAAGTGAGGCGAACGTTCCGTCGTGTCGTGTTAGGGTAAAGAAAGTAGTACGTGTGCATCGGTGTGTCACTGACACTACTTTATTCGCCTAACAGGACATGGCGGAACACTTGCCTCACTTATAAAATTAAGAGGCACAAAGATAAAATGTGCACGCGGTCTACAAAGGCCGGAGAATGACTGTCAGAAGTGTCAGTCTGATGAAACGCCTAGGTCAAACATCGAGAAGGAGCGGGAAATAAATAAATAAATAAATAAATGAATAACCAACCATTTAGAGATTTATAACTCTGAGTAAATGTGTCTTGAACTGATATTTAATTTATTATTACGAGACCTAATGATCATATAGTATGCATTTATGCATCTGAAGCACATCTCCCTCGACCCGATCCCGAGGACGGATGCGTTTAATTTGCAATCTGCGGCCGTCCTACCGCGGTGCGGCCTACCTGCCGTTTCCGATGCACCGCATTAAATTAAAAGCCACAATCTTCTCTCTCGTTGTCACGTAAATATGCGCGAAGGGGCCGATCGACGTTTCCTTCTCGCGGCGGTTTACGAGGAAACGCGCACCCTACACACGGTTGCCTCCGTCTCCTCGGCGTATCGAAAGCTCAAAACAGCAAGGGAGAAAGCGAGAGAGAAGGAGAATTACCGGGAATGAATCGTGCACCGGTCGTCGACGAATCATCTACCTGCGCATAAAGACGCCCTTCCACGCGGTTATCTGTCTCTGCAGACAACCCTTTCTCGTCGTCCTAGATTGGCGAGAGCAAGAGGGAAAAAAAGAGGCAGGCGAGGAGAGGAGCGAGAGAACCTGCATTTTATCCGGTTATTCCGGTAGCTACCGGCGGCGGTTCCGGCAAAGAATTCCGCTTCTTTCTTCCTACCTTCGTTACGTGGCGGATAAATTATACGGAATACTGGGCGCGCTAAGTTACCCCGCTTTTGTTTGCCGACGTAGTATGCCCCGTGCGTGTGAATCCCGGCGAGGGAACAATTCGGCGCCCTTCACGCCGATACTACGGGTAATCGCGCGTTCGCGCAGGTTGCTGCGAAAAAGATTCTTTATGCGCGCGTAGATAGAAGCAGGTCCCACTGGCACCGCGCCCGTCGCGTTCGTCGGTTATGTTGTTGCGCCGCAATGGCGAACCATTTCCGCCCTGCCGCCAAAAAAAAAATATACAAATACGGCTACGTGTGGCGAAAAAGCAGGTTGAAATCGGTAGACAGATTTTTGTTGCTCTTACATTTTTTTTTTTCTTAAAATTTATCCTGAAAATCACACGATCGCGGGATAACGTGGCGTTTCGAAGAATCTTAGGGGAGTTCTTTTAAAAGTTTACCACACA